GAAAGGGCTTTAATACTTGAAAGTAGATCTGTGATGTGGCTTTTGAGGATCAAGCAATAAAGTTTGGAGTTGGTCATCCTGCAAAAATGGCATGGATGCACTGCGGTCACTTCCAGCTGAATACACCTGAAAGTGCCTGCTTAAGGCAGGTGAAAAGACAGGTCCGGGCATTTTATTTTGAAAGCAGAGGTCTTCTATTCTTAGCTACTGAAGGAAGCTGGTGTCTGGGCTTGCTTGTTGATGTCACTGTAAGATAGCTTGTGGCATTCTCATTTTTCTTTCCTCCCTCAGGAGCTTCAGTCAGATTGAAGTGGGATGAGACATGAAGCTGTCCGTTGCCCTATGTCATCTTGTATTTTCTGCTCAGTGATGGAGATGTTGGTGCTCCATTTTCTCTGCTTCCTTCTTCATGTGGAAGCAAACAAACTGAAATGGGAATAGTTGGTATTGCTGGATCCAATTTGGGTTGGTCACCGGGACCAGAGATTTTGTCTTCCGAGCTTTTGGACTCATGCTAGAGCCCTTTTTCAGGGAACTTCTCTCTGAAGTTCCCTGACTGACCCAGATTGGATCCTGCCACATTATCCTGGGACATGTATATTCGCCTTCATTCATAGTTGACATTGTTTTCATTTGCTATGCAGAGGAGCAAACAATATCAATGGTCCCCCAAAGTATAGTGCAGACCTAAACTAAAGCAGCAATAATCAGTAGGCTTACCAAGAAATATTTTTATTGAACTCAATAGGATTCCCCTCAGAGCAAAAGGATTGCACTGTGGGCTGTGTTCCGGACAGCTAGTCTAGAGAAGAGCATTTTGCATTTTGCATGTGGAGAATCTCAGCCTTCAGGTTGTGTTATCCTTTTCAAAGCTTCTCAGTTTTCCTGGTTGTACAAAGAACTTTCAAAAAAGTCCAACAGAAGCTTTCATGTGTTGTGAGAATCAAGCTTGGCATTTCTATTATACTATGGCTTTTATACAGTGTAATATAAAATAGGTTTCAATGCAAAAGAAAACCATAAATGTGCCTACTGCTCAAGTCAAGACAAATAGATATTATTGATATTTGTACATATAATAAACTACATAAACAAAAACCTTGTTATTGGGCTTTTCCTGTAGAGAGGGAAAGGTATTAATTACCCTATATTCATGAAGGAACAGAATATTGTTTCCTCCACACAGACTCCCAGATTTTTGAGAGAAAAGCATAGTATTAATAGAGACCTTTTTTGCAGTGTTTCCAACCCATGTACTGTACTTGTCATGTATGATTGTGTGTGTGCAGGACTATTCTCCCACTATATGAAAACACTCAACATATTGATAAATGCTTGGAAAAGATCTGCTTCTCAGAACCATTGCATGAAAAGATCTTGTAATAAAACCCGTGTTTTTAATGAAAAGTACTTATGACAGTGAAGCAGTGCGATAAAAGGAATTTGGACATCCAAGAACAAAGAAACTTGATTGCTAAGAAGTTCACAAAATGACCGTGTTGGAAGGGATTTTAAAGGTCTTCTCATCCAACTTCTACTCAGGGCAGGAATCTTAATACCATCTTAGACAAATGGCTATCCAGCCTTTGCTTGAAAATATACAGTGATGGAACAGCCATGACTGCAGGAGGCAGGTTGTTCTACTCTTTAATAGTCAATTCCTTATTTGAATTTGGATCTGTAAAGTTTCCACCCATTTGTTTGGTCCTGTCCTCTGGAACTATGAAGAATAAATCCACACTGTTTTCTTTATCACAACCCTTCAAATATCTGAAGACTGCTGGGACTTCTTTTCTTTGTCTTCTCTTTCTTTCAGGCTCAACTTACCCAGTTTCTTTAACCATGGATTTAGCTTTCAGTCCCCTCACTAACTTCATTCTTAGCCTCTTTTACTTCTCCCCATCAAATCCTAACTCTCAAAGTTGGGAGAAGTGGCAATTATTTTTTAACTTACACAATACTGATTGCAAAAGTGGTCAGTCTTTTATCATCTTGCTGAAAGTCATGTATTTGCCATTGTCAAATATTTAATCAAATAATTAAGTAATTAGGTTGTAGAGGAAGCCACATTTACTTACAGAGCATGATGCAAATATATTCTATGGCAATGTGATCACCAATATCTCAGCCGATGTTTAAAAAGAAACTCGGCTAAATGAAGGATAGAAAATTGATTAATTAAAGTTTACTTGCCTTTCATATAGCCCCATGTAGATTTATTTAAAAGGAAGTTTATTCAATTGAGCTTACACTGAGAAAATATATAAAGAAGGCCATAAGTCAAGTATTGATCCCAGTTTTCCTGGTAACTTTAAATATATGACTCGCTTTAGTTTTCTCTAATATGATTTTTCCATTTCCCAGGAGCTCTGAAATTCTTTGGCTCTCCATCCAAATATTTTAAAAAAGCCAAACTCTGCTTAGTTCCCAAGAAAACCAAGGTAAGCTTAGATGCTGCTGCTTGCTGTGACATAGGTATTATCAACTGTATAAGTAATCACTTTCTTGATGAAATGAAAAACCAAAGTTAAACTGGCAATTTTGATCTAGAGGTTTAGCAGATGTGATCAATGGCTCTTTTGGGTGTTGCGGTGTACAGCAAATCCCTGATTTATGACAATATGTGAACCTATCATGTAAAATCCAGCACATTTAGGAAATGGCAGATTAGGATCAGGCTGTCCAAAGGGATTAAAATGTAGGTATCTTTGTGAAGTCAAAATACACTCTAAATTCAACCAACCAGAACTGGAAGAGACACATGCAGGCAAGGTGATTCTTTTATTGCATTAGTTTGTGGTAATAGAATAGAATACTTTATTGGCCATGTGTGATTGGGCACACAAGGAATTTGTCTCTGGTGGAAAAACTCTCAGTGTACACATAAACAACAAAGTAATATAATCCTAAGATATCAATAAGAAAAGGCAATAGAAAAGCTGAGAAAGATAATAGTAATACAGCCATACAACATGGGTAAATATCCTTAGATATAAGCTCTTAAGACACAAAGTGAAAAGCAGATTAACAGTAGTTGACTTTGGTGTAAAGCAGCATAATCAGATTTTACATACAAACTGACTTCATTAACAATGCACACTTAATTAGATAATTTCTCAAAGGAATAAACTCATGACACATCCAAGAGTTGCTTAAGAGGCTTATTATCCATGACCACTTAAAGTTACATTGCTGGGGCCTTAAGTTACAAGCTTATTTCCATAACATAACAGTATGTTATTTTCTACAGCCAACTAAATTGAGACTTGACGTAGAATATTTCACCAGCAACTTTTCTTCTGAAACAATGAATTGACTCCAGGTCAAAAGAAATTATTTTGATGATAATTGTGAAAATGTAAAGTCTTCCTTGCCAAATTCATGAGTCTGGCCATATAGTTTTCTTGGCAACAGTAGGTGTCTGGTAGTATCATTTCAGGCAAATGTTATTAAAAGGCAAAAACTTTTATGAGTTACAGGTTAGTTGCTTTTTAGTAAGATGTGTTAGTCTGTTAGTAGACTACCCCTGATTTTTTTTGGCTCTACAGGTAGTCCTTGACTTACAACAGTTTGTTTAGTGACCATTTGAATCTGCAACAGCGCTGAAAAAAGTGACATGACTGTTTTTCACCCTTATGAGTAGACCATTGCAGCATCCCCATGGTTACATGATCAAAATTCAGATGCTTGGCAGCTGACTCATATTTATGATGACTGCTGTGTTCTGAGGTCATGATCCCCTTTTGCAACTTCTGACAAGCAAAATCAATGGGGAAGCGAGATTCACTTAACAACTGTATTACTTAACAACTGCAGTAATTCACTAAACAACTGTGGCAAGAAAGGTCGTAAATAGGGCAAAACTCACTTAACAAATGTCTCACTTAGCAATAAAAATGTTGGGCTCAATTGTGGTCATAAATCACATATAGACATAAATCTCATATAGACTTCCATGGCTGCCCTCTTTACAGTGTTGGTAACAGTACAGAATTTATTTTGTATTGTCATCTTCTGAGTTGTTCTGATAGCTTCCCATCCAAAGAGTAACCATGGTTTTGCTTAGCTCTTTGAGAACAGAGCTGGCTAGGTAGTGCCACCTTGTAAGTTTCAAGAAAGTAAATTTCTATGATATAAAAAAAAATCTAGAGCAGATTTCTTAATTTGTTTAATAATATAGCATGGCTATGCTAATCTTGCCTACGAAGGAATGCAGCTTGTGGATCAGTGTCCCAGGGCTGGATTTAACCCCTTACAATCTCTTTACCAAAACAGAGACGTGAAGTCGGCACTGAGCCGTGCAAGGACAGTTAGGATAATCTTTAAGGGTGGAGTGAGTTTTTTTTTATCATCTTATATATCACCCTAGTTGCCTCTGCTGATATTCTAGCAAACCAGCTCACAATCTGTATTCATTTAAGGGCAACAGTGAGCCACGATTAGATATCACCTAAGTCAGAATATTTTGGTTACCCTGATAGACCAATCATATTAATATTTGTAACTGAAATTGCTGGTAATCCACTTAAAGGAATGTATCTAAGCAGCTGCATTGACTGTTGAGAGGAGGTTCAAAATCCAGTCTGTTTGAGGCTGCATGTCCATTCAAAAGGGGCATAGAGCTTGTGCAGATTTTGATTTCACCCACTTCAGACATAGCTACATCTGTGCTTCTATTCTCAGAGATGCCCTCTAGATATATGACATGCTAACAGAAGTGCTAAAGTAAATCTCATGACTTCTTTAATTCTTCCCCATTAAAATCAAGGAGATTTCTACACATCAGAACCTCAACAGTGCTCAAACTGCTGGTAAGAGTCTAGTTATCATGAAAAGTGTGTGTGGGGTGGGGGTGGGGAGATAAAAATTCAACCTATGTTTTCAGAATCCAACTCTTACTTGTATACATCTAAGCTTGTTGGGAATAAAGACAACAAAGAGAACATTTTATTGTCCTGATTTTTTTATCTTTAAAAATATCCATGGAATATCGAATTTTAATTAATACTAACATTCAGAATTCTCCAGAAGCTGAAATATTTTAAAATTGGCCTGATTTTAATAGGCAACATCATACATTCTTATTATTAGTTGGGAACATTATCACTTGAACTAATTCATATTGAGTAATTTTCTGCTGTTTGAAATAATTCTGTTTTTATTGGTGCTCAGTTATTCTGTTTTAATGATGCTTATGTTAGTTTGGGATGAAAGAAGAATCAGACCAGTGCTAAGGCTCAGCAAAGAAGTTGAAGGGCAAAGAAAATCAGTGTAAGTAAACATGTAATGTTGGTGTGTAATTTGGTGTGGTGGTATAAAGAGTGTTGTATCAGGAAGTAGGAGACTTGCTTCTTAAAATTGCTTCTGGGCCATCTATCTTATTCTCAATCCAAATCTCATGAGCGCAAGGCTTAGTGTCCAATCACAATCCCTTAGTTTAACAGATTTTACAGTGTTGTTTGTGACAAAAGTGGGGATTATGTACTTCGTGTAATTAACTTTGAGGAAAGGCAGAATACAAATGAATGTGTGGATATTTGCATATGAGTGTATACGTTTATATGAACTTGATCTTTCATCATTTTGAGGGGGGGGAAAAACCTCTGAAAATAAACTGAAAAAAAATAGTAAGCATATGTGCAGAATGTATGTTTGGCAACTTTTGGATTAGGGCATTTAAAGTACAATTCTTTCTTATACTTTCCTGTAATGAAAGCTGGAAATCATTGAACAGAAAAGGAAACCAAGAAAGATCTTTACTCAGCACTCTGAATATTGATGTCCAGCTCGCCGTAGACATGTCGTAAGGCATCACAATTCAAGCTTGAAATCAACTTTCGTAAGCCATGCTGCTTTGGAACATATTTATCTTCCCAGATCAAGGTTGAATTCCTTGGAATCTCTCTGCAGTGAAATACAATAATGCAAACATAGTTTGACATGGTTTATAAATCTAATAAATAAACCAGCATCTTGGTAGTAGAAAAAAGAGTTTGTAATTTGAAGGAATAACCTACCTCCAATTATTGGGGTTGTTTTAAAGCCTAAAAAAAAAGTACATGCATCTTGACAATTTCAGGAAATGCACAATCATCACTCTTTTCTGAGACAACTTATGAATGAGATCTTCTGCTTAGTTAATTTACAAGGTAGTTGTAAGAATAATGGATGGATTTACATCAGGGACTGTTTTGTTTTAAAAAATAAAATTTGCTCACTTTTTTTTCTAGATATAGATCTGACTTCACACTGTATATATTTGTCTTCACTTGTCTGTTTTTTTTCCTACCTTGGGCAAATTATTATTTAAATCAAAATAATAATGGTGGTATTAGTGGTTACTCCAGTGCTGTGTCCCCATTTAAATGCAAGACTCTTAATGAAAAAAATACATATGGAAGGTGGTACTGGGTATTCATGGATCTGCTTAGCATGTGGTTTGGCTTTTAGATCTTTAAGCTTTAATTTAATAACAAGCAGTTTCAGAATTGTTTCCACTTAAGCCTTGACTCTATAGTATCATGAACAAAACAAAATCCTGAATGCTCGTTAAAGCTGGTGACTGCATTGTAGTAGAACATAGATTTTTGTATAAATCTTGCTGGCTTAAAATAACCCCTTGCATATAATTTTGTCAAGGAAGAAATAATGCAATCTAGAAGACTGGACGTGGCATTTCCAAAAGGACTTGTTCAGAAATAAGTAAAAAACGAAATTGGAATGCATCCCAGAGGGAAAAAAGTATTAATTTTTTGCTAATGGAATAAAACCAAACTAATTCAATTGTGTTGGAGTAATGTGGTGATGGATGATTCTTGGTAATGTGTTGAGCCATCAAAGTGGACTGGTCATTTATCATCTTCAATATAATGAGGAAAATGGGATGAATATTTAAACAATCTGTGATGGTTTATTTTCTATTACTTTAACGTACCACAATCATGCCAAATGAAAATGCAATTCAGTACTTGTATTAACATTTACAACACATATTGAAATAGTTCTATAATTTAACACAAGAACAGGAAACCTATGGCTCACAAGTGACTGCTAAATTACAGCTTCAACAGCTTCAAATAACATTGACAATGATATAAGATACTGGAAATTGCTGTTCAGCAATATCTAGATCAGGGATCCCCAAACCTGGCAATTTTGACTTGTGGACTTCAACTCCCAGAATTCTGGGAGTTGAAGTCCACAGTTCTTAAAGTTGCCAAGGTTGGGGACCCCTGATCTAGATGATTGTAGATTCCTTGCTCTTGGTCGTATTCTTAAAACCACTCTTTCGATATCATTATAAAAAATAAATATAAAAATGGCGGCAAAAAACTAAAAAAAAAATCAGTAACATATTTAAAACAATTTAAAAATAACAGAACCAGATTAAAATATTATGTTACGATTATTACCGAAAGAAAAAAATATTTATTTGATTATTTAGCCTCCAGATAATTAGTAAAAGAGAATTTTCTTTGCGATGAAGTTTGAACCTTAAGTGAAATTCTCTCCTTACTCAAAACTCAGCGAATCTTCACTATTAACAAGCAGGTTCAATCTGTATATTAATGCAGTGTCAGTAATCTGTCTTTTTTTTAACTGTTACTTTAAAAAATCCAGTTCTTGTGATGAAAGAAAGAAAGAAAGAAAAAGAAATGCATGCTTTTCAATGGCCACCCCTCCTTTTTTCCTATGGCCTATTGAGGGAGAGCTTCAGAGCATTAAGCTAGCATTCCCTTTGTGGGATCTGAAGTAGAGGAATTGGGAAGAAAGGTGAGGGAGGCTTTCCCTACAATAAGTAAATGAAATCACTGGAAAGGGAAGAGAAGAGAAGAGGAAAGGAGAGGAGAGGAGAACTTTGCACTGGTTTCAGCTATGTTGTAGCTGAATCTGAATTAAATCAGTCAGATCACCAAACACATGTTGGCCTGGAACTGTTTTCAGATTGATTCATATAGAAGTATCATGAGAATCTATATAGGAATTTTTTATTGTTTAAGACAGAGATTCCCCAATCTTTTGGCTACCAGGAACCGATTCCGTGGAGAAAGGTTTTTCCATGGACCGGAGAGTGTGTGGTTTTGTGTGCTGCCTGCATCCCATGGATAGGGCTTTGCTTGTTTGTGCGGCCCGGTTGCTGGCATGTCACGGACTGGGGGTTGGGGACCCCTGGTTTAAGGAATTTGAGTTACATTATAAGAATGCCACAGCTTTGTAAAGTGTTTTATTACTGTCATCAATATTAGATGGACCACTAATGGTAATGAGGATGAGGCAGAGAAATGCTATCTTATTTCATGTTTTCTTAAAATAAGTGATATTTTAAATGAGTCTTGCTGGATTACATTTTCATAATTTAGCTGCTAAACTATTCCAGTAACATATTACTGTAACATCAAGTTATCTTGTTCATTATTTGGATATAGTATCTTGCTGTCACTGATGCCTGGGGAAGAAATACAGTTTTATAATTATTTAGATCAATTCCTCTAATTCAGAGATATTTGGAGGTAATCATCTCCTAAATTCCCAGTTAGCAGAACCTTGCTAGCTGCAGTTCCTGGGAGTTATAATCCTGACACACCCAAAGGACAAATGGTTGGAGAAGATTGATTTCATGCCCTCAAGAGAGAAGCTGGCATTGCTCAAATATGATGGCACATTTAGTGTTCATTTTGTTATGAATACCCAGAAAACTATGCCATAATAGGCCTTACCTTACCTGAATAATTTTGAGACTGGTTTTAGCACACCAGGGCCATCAAGTCGGACCCAGACATTGGTGAGATTTTGCTTCAATGGGTTGGGGAACTCCACTATTACTGTCATGTTCTTACCAACAACTTTCTCTCCAGGAACCTGCAGAAAAAAAAAACCCCGAAGGCTAAAATCAAATAACAATAAATTGAATTATTGCAACATTTTCTAATCTTGTCCCTTTCATTTCATGGATAACAGTTGCCCTCTTCCCTAGCTAATTTATATCTTAATTTTATGCCTTCAGGTCAATCTTCTCTTCTGGGGATTGCCTGGACAGGTTACTGTGATTTTCTTGCCAACATTTTTAGAAATGGCTTACCATTTCTTTCTTCTATCTTCCTGAGAGCCACCTATCCAAACTTACCCAGTTGGCCTTATGTCTAAGGCAGGAGTAGAATGCATGGTTCCCCAGTTTCTAGCCCTGGTGTCTTTATCTGCCTTATTAAACTAGTTTTCCACTCTTCTCTTGCTAACATGCCTTTATACGACTGCCCCGTATAAAGTCTAGTTACATCAGGACTAGTTCTTTGCAATAATGTGCTCTGTGGCTGTCTATCTTTGAAAGATATTTGAAAGCTCCCACTCTACAGAATGCAACTCATAGTTACGGGATGAGATACAACATAAGCTGCATATTTCAAAGATTTAGGATCAAAAATTTTGTTGTGGTGCTAAGACTGGTTTTAAGGCCTTGCTTGTAGGGCAGGGCTTTTCAACCTTTTCACTCATTGTACCACTTTTAGGATATAGCAATATCCGAGTACCACCAGTCGCCTAGCAAGGTGTCAAAAACTTGATAACCAAAAAAAAAAAAAAAGGAAAAAAGTGATAAAGTACAGGTAGTCCTCGACTTACAACAGTTCGCTTAGTGACTGTTCGAAGTTATAATGGCACTGAAAAAAGTGCCCCCAAGGCACAGCCGAGCAAGACACCTGCCTGCTCGCCTGGTGGCGCTCTCATTACCCTCCCCCGCTACCACTTTTCTAGGATGGTCGCGTACCACCTTCCAGGTGCCAATGTACCACAGGTGGTACCCGTACCACTGGTTGAAAAGCCCTGTTGTAGGGTATTAGACAAGGTGGGCAATTAGAGATGTGCCTTTCTAAGCTTGTGAAATATCCTTCTAAAGTAGAACTATATTTCTAGGCCCCTGAAGGCTCTTTGTCCCAACTTTCTTTTTAATTGGCATTTAAGTTGTTCTGAATTTAACTGCTGCTGTTTGAAATTTTTATGCTTTGCTGCTTGTTCTCTTTTATATTGCTTAATGGCTGCTGTTATGTTTTTTATGCTTTATAAATTATGGTTTTACACTTCACAATATGTTATAATGACTGCTTATGTTTTTCAAATATTGTGAGTCATCTCAAGAGGGCTTGGTTCCTGAAAGGCAGTGTATAAGAATAGAAATAAATGAATATCATCTCTATAATTACACACGGACAAAATACAGTTTGAGAGAGCTTTCTGCCACAAAGACAATGGAGTGTGAATTACTATGCAAAATGCTGAGAAATTTAACTACACAAAAACAGGTTTAGGGCTTTGGGGGAAAGAGGTCTATAAACACTGCTTGCCAAAAATTAGACACAGGAGATCTGTTTTCCTACACTATTCTCTGCTTGTGTACTTTAAACAAATAGGATTATACCATTTCAAAGAAACAGAAGTCACATCAACTCTATCACTTGGAGAAATGGTTGAGTACCACTTTAAGATGCTTATGACTATAAATAGACTGTACTTTCAGCTTCTGTTTTTAAAACATTTCTGCAGTCAAGGGGATGTCTTCGCCATGATCCAATTAATGAATTAGTCTCACCCAGATCTGTGACTCTGGACAGAAATACAGGTCTACAAAGATGCATCTAGATAGTTCATTAAGATTCAAATCAGGGTTGTGATTCAGATATGACAAACTTTTCTTGATGAACATCAGCATATGAATGAATTATTGCATAAATGGATGAGAAACAGCAACTCTTCAAATGTTTCTATTATAATAGAACCAGATTGTAGTGAGGGATGCTGGGAATTGTAGTTCCCTTAGTCTTTCCAACTGGGGCATAAATTATCCACATATAGATTTCTTTTATCAGAAAGAATGCTGATAATATTTTGCTGCTGTTGCCCATAGAATCACTTTAGATGAAAAGTAACTTTCTGTCCTAACGGCCCCCATTAAATTAGAAGTATAGGAAACCCTTATGGTCTTGGTAAAAATGATCACTGTAGAAAAAGAAGTCTGTTTTTGGACTTCAGTAGTTACTGGTTGTTAATCTTCTAAAAGATAAAGCCACTTATCTTGTAGAATAACCTTGCAAAGCTACTAGTTGTAGCTCCTGGTCAGCATAAAGCATAACCAGGTAGTTGAAGTCATATACTTCACAAAATGATGCACAAGGTCCACAACTAGACACTGGATAAGAAATAAAGAAATGATGTGATACCTTGATGGTGATATAAGGATAATAGGACTCATATACTCATAGTGAAAGTGATCCATATGTGCAGGAGTCAACATAGTCCTGGAATAGCAACCCTGTTTAGTACAGAACCGAGGATGCCTTCTGATCCATGGGAGGGAATGGTGACAAAATGATATGGATGGAATTACTAATAGAAACAACCATCTAACAGGATACCTTGGCTGTCATACATAGGTAAAAACTGCTGGTGTCCCAGCTGTCAGTTCCATCTGCAGAATTGGTTGGATTGCCACTGTTGCAGACTGAGCCCCATCAATTATAGCAAGCGTGTATTTAAGAAAAAACACTGCAGTGGACTAGAAGTTCAACAATGCCTGCATCAGAAGGCCATGTCCTCTAAAAACAGATAATGGAGGGCCTTCACGGAATGCTAGCAGGACATGAAGGCATGCATAGAATGCCTCGGTAGAAGGTTGGGGATGAGACAGAAGTTACATCTGGAGCACATGTCCCTTAAATGTGATTATTTAGGTATCTTTGGCCATGGAATGTGGACATGACCAAAGCCAGGTAATGATGCTGAAGCCCCCAAATGTTACAGACACTTTATAGTAGTAGTGGAGACTGTGTTTAGCTGACACATTTGATGGTAGCCTGATTGGAAGTCATTCACACCTTGGGAGAGATGTTTATTGGGTAACATTTGAAGGCATGGCAATACTGTGGAGAGGAATTGTTTAAGAAGGCCTGCCAATACGGGTAAGTCCTGTGCCCATCACAAACAAAACCCAAAGTGTGAGTGGCAATTGCACTATGGAAACTTATAGGTACCACACTTTTGGAAAGGAGCTGTTACAGCCATAGCAATTGAAATCAGATAAGGAAAATGCTTACTGAGAAAATTAAAAACAAACAAACATCCAGTTAATTTGTGCAGTTAGGAGAGAAGTATTCCATCACCTCGTAGATCAGTGTTTTTTCAAACTCTGTAACTTTAACTTCAACTCCAATAATTCCCCAGACAACATGCAGTTGTCTTAAAGTTGCTAAGTTTAAAAAACATTGTTTTAAGAATGTTGGGGAAAACGGGTATAAACAGTAAACCTTTGCACACTCCTAATGAATTTTGTAGTGTTGCATAGTTCACAGTTGTCAATTTCAGAAATCATGATAATTAACGGAGGCATTAAGGATAGGCTACATTTCCCTTACAAGAACGAATTAAATCATTTCTTATTTATTAAGGTTGAATGAATTACATTAAATCTCTGTTTCTCTCTTGCAGGTCTCATTTCAAAAAGGAATCCGAGGGGTGGTAGGCAAAACTTTTCAAACTGCAATTGTTTCAAAGTTGTAATTGCCTGTTTTTCCACAATTTAAAATGGGCTGTCCTATCAATTAGAAATTCTGAACTCAAGAAACATGATAAAACAGCTGATTGGATTATGAAAGTGTTTTTTTTAATTCATTCATTATTAGCTTTTGTTATCTCACATTTAATTTTGGTCAGCTCAGGGCTGCCTAAAAATGCTAATTTTCCTGCCTCCTATTTTCCTCACAACAACAAACCTGTGAGGTGTAGGCCTAAGAGAAAATTGCTTAGATTCACTCAACTGATTTTCACACCAAAGAGCATGAATTCATAGGCTTCCGGTTTCTAGATCAGCATCATAGCCACTACACCAAACTGGCTCTGAAAGCAACTGTTTTCAGTTCAAAATGAGGCACTTTAGCTTAGACACTTTGAATTTGAGATATCTTGCTAAATACGTAATCACCGACTTCTCAGAATTTTTTTGTTTAAAGGATAAGAAATGTTTAGGCTGGCTTAATCGTGATGAAGAACTGAAGATAGCATATTATGGTTATCACAGAGATAACATAATGGATCCCTTTCCCAATTAAATTTGAGCAGCAACATCAAGAGGGGGCAGAAAAAGTAACACAATCAAGAATTTGATACTCGGGGTAATTAAAATGCTGCAGGGCTGGATATTAAACTTTACTGTTAAACCAGAAAAAGTCATGGAAAATACTACGAGGTACACTGAATAGAGATAGCCAATCTTCAGATTCATCCATCTTCTAACACAGTAACTGACGTGTAGGTATCAAAAAATAGGAGCCTAACCATCCATCTAACCATCCCTCCATGAACGTATTTCTGGATGAAATTAAAAGCCACAGAATGACAGTTTCCCTTTCTGAAAGCTGGAGAGAGTGAGCAGAAATAAATAATCAATGCTGTGTATATGTATTTAAGCACATTCTGCTCTAGACAGCAATGACATGTTTGTCCAAAACACAGATGAGCTGTCTCCAACTGCTAGACATATGCAGGCAAGATATGGTGCATGACCACCAACGGTTTCCTTCTGAAGTAGGAAGCAGAATTCTGATAAAACAGAATTGCCCAACCATTCCACAACACAGTTGTGTTTTTGTGTTTTAATAAACTGTCTAAACTTGCCAGAATTTAGAAGAAAAATCCAGCAGAGATATTGCCAGAGACCAGTCATTCAAGTCTTCTAACAATCCATTAAATATCTCTGGATTACTTTATAATAGCTCTTGTTATTCTAACACTCATAAATGCTACATTCCATCTGTATCCTGGTTACATTAAGATGTTTCCTGACAAAGATGGCCAGCTGATAATTGTTTTTGGTCTTC